AAACATTTAAAATTTTTTTCGAATGGAGAGAAAAGTCCTGATCTTGTGTTCGTGCTGCTCTGGATTTATGCCCACCAGCTATCAAACAGAAGACAAATGACAGTGCTGTTCTTTCAACCAGTTTAATGATTCTGGCAAAAGACCTGGCAGCAGACTCCAAAGATTTCATCTAGGCAAGGCAATGCCTATTCCAAGAGTGGAAATCTCCAACCGGAGAGCTGGCAAGCGCATGTTTGTGCTGGAGGCTTAAATCAATCATTGCTATTTTCCCCAATGTGATCTAGCAAAGTACAGAAACTGGCTCCTTCATCAATGGCCACAGGCCACTTTTCATGTTTAAGGTATTAGTGCCATGGGCTACAGTGATACATTCGCTTCATGTAAAACAGTCAGTGTTAGAACCACCTGTTTAATCATTCCTTTAGAGTAGCTCTACTTCGAAAACTGTCAACAAATGCCTTGTTGACACTGCTGACAAGGAGTCCAGGAGACCACTGTGTATTAGTGCTCCCCTGGAGTTATTCCTCTGTGTTCATGCAAAACTCTCCTGCCACCACGGTACATTTCTGATTCTGCTGCCGAACACCGTCCCCTCATTGTTGCCTTGTGAACTGACACAAATTCCCCTGGCACCAATGCCTGAGTCCATCAGCAGTCAAAATGCTCCTGAAGATTTATACTATTAAATGCACTTTCTCCCTCAAAGGCTTGGACAAATTTTAGGGGCCTAACTGAAAAAATGGAATTTAGATTAAATAAGAAACCTACTCGGCAGCCACCTAACTCTTTATTTAGGGTCCATCTGTTGTGCCTGGAAGTTCCTGAGGTGCCAATAATTCTGCTTCTGTGGATACCCAAAATTGCCCTTGCTTACTCTAGTGGGAATCACAAAGTAAAGGGAATGTAATCAAAGACTGTAGGTTTGTGCAACTTCCTTGTAGGGCAGTACCCTATAAACACTTCCCAGGTCAAGGGAAATGCCCTGGCAATACAGTATCTTCTTATCAGAGTAAGCCTGTGGCGTGTACCCACCACACAGTCTAATTTCCACACAGGGAGGACCTGGCAAGAGCTCTGCATGCAAGACAGTACATGCCAAAGAGGCAGTGATAGGATGCTCAAAGGGCCCAGACACCAGAGGCTGATTCTGGATGTTTCAAAAATACATTTATCTACAGCCTAATGGGCCAGATCAGCTGCATGTGCTCTGAACATATTTAACACATGACAAGAGGACAAGGATTCTTTCTAAATGGTCATGACTGCTTAATATGTAGTGATGTATTTGCCAGTGCTGCCTCCTTGTATAACTCAATGGTTACTTCAGCCAGGGTGCTTGGAAGGTACATCTACCTTTCTCCCAGCTTCAAAAGGTTAAAACATCTCCCATGTGCCAAGGGAATGTCTTATTTCCTCTCTGCTTCTCTAGGCAGAGAATAGTCACCCTTCACTCCCAAATCAGTTAAAAAAAAAAAAAAAGGCCAAACTAAGACTAGATACAAAAGATATGGAATTGCTATTTATTCGCTGATGTCCCTAATTCCCCTAATTCTATCCCAGAACCCAGAAACATTTCAAACACAGGATTTCTCAAACTCCTGCGAATCCAGAGTACTAAATGTTTCTCTATCTATCTTTTTCTCCTGAAGTGGCCTCAGGTTGTAACTCTTCCAGCTTGTCCCTCCAATAATAATTAAGGTAATTAGCCTCTCTCTCCTTTGGGCTAGTTGCTAACACAGTCCAGCTAATTTCTCCAAAAGAAATAAAGAAACAAATTGAAACAAGGGAAAGGCCAAGCCTCAGAGGACAGTAACAAAAGGGCAAACTGAAAGACAGCTCGGTCTAATCATATGCACCCCGCTGTTATCAGAGTCAACATTTTTCTCTGCAAATAACCAATGATCCTGCATAAAGTGGGTTGGAAGGAGATATAGCAAGGGGAGATCATTTTGAGTTCAGAAGACTTTTGGTCCCAGTCCATCCTTCCAGCATTGTTTATGCACCTTATAGCAAACAGTCAATGGAAAGAAAAAAAGTCAGTCCTTAGAACAAGTTGCATAGTCAGACACGTGTCTGGGCTTCTAGCTGACCTTAGGATGTTCCTTGTGCCTGAGGCCACCAAAAGCTGGGTGGTAGCGAGGAGCAGGCAATAAGCCTGCCAGGTGAACGCCAGGCCCCTACCATGGGCAGAAATACAAATCCAGTCCAAAATGAATTTATTTTTTGCCAGCTGAAACCATTTGGTAAATGCATCCTGTTATTTTATGGCAAAAATTAAACGGCCTCGCTCTACTCCAGAGCTCCCATTTCCAGGCCCATGGCCAGTTAATACTTCATCTCTTACCGCAGCATGACCAGCAGTGGAACAAGCACTAAACGAGTCCTGCTGGTTCTGGTCTGTCAAAAATCCCAAGCTGGAGCCTGGGGGACCACGTGAGCCACCGCCTGCCCACCACGCCTTCCCATGGTTTGATTTCCTCAGATCCCGTGGAGGATCTGTTCAAGAAAGTTCAGTCTGCAGGTGCAAGTTTTGCAGCTTATATCTGGCCCACAGTTTTGATGTCAGGAAAAACATTGCAAGAAAATAACTCATTATTAAAGAGAAGGGCTCCAGAGACTTTTTTGTATTCCAGTGAAAGGGCTTTTCTTTTAGCAGGCATTTGCCTGTGGTGTTTGCAACCTAAATATCACAAGCAGAATCTGAAAATGACATTGTTTAGAAACTGATTCTTGAAACAAATCATGTCCCTTTCTTGGCAGAGCAGTAATGAACTCTCATCACTGAGTTTTTCCGATCTTGTAATACATTAATTAGTTGGAACATGCTCGCATCTCAAAAATCATGTCAAATCACAAGTTTTAATTGCACATAATTCCCGCCAGTGTTTTGCTCCATAAATTAATTTCAATTACATTCAAGTTTACAGAAAACATTTTAACACATTTTTTTTTATAAACCCATAGGAAGAAAAGAAGTGTTGTTCAAGAAGAAACACAGTAGTTTAAAATAAATAATAACTTTTGCCACAGATTTTTACATTTGACTTCCTGCTTAAAAGAGAAAATCCTATACCTGGTAACCTTTATTATTTCCTCCAGCCCTCCTGAACCCTGGAAACAGATTTTGGAAAGATGCCCAAGGCCAATCATTTAAAAAAGAAACAAAACCAAATCCTTTCACCTGTTTGTTTCCCAGGTCACAGAATGAAAAACTGTAGGCCTCCTATTTCCATCTTTAGCACACACTCTCACTTGAGACTTAGAAAGTGGCTTAAATTTGACTTGCAAAAGAAAGAGGCATGCCCTTATTCCCTGGAGAAAGCATACAAAAGGAATGTGCTTTTTTTTATTTTAAGCTTTAGAAACTTGAACTCAAGCTGTAAGAGGGGAAAAGAAGGCCACAGCCAGGCAGCTGGTACAAGTAAGGTGCAGACACAGAGCCCTGTCCTGGGCCAGCTGGAGAAGATCCACATTGGAAAACAACTTTACAACCCCCTGCCCCACACCCTGGCTCCCGGGACATTGCTGCATAGGAAAAACTGCAGCTCTCTGTGCGCTTCGTAGGGTTTGAAATGAAACTGTCTTATGGATCTTCATCTATACCTATTTTAAAATGAAATAAACGATTATTTGGGAAAAAAAAAGACCTCATTTCCTCATATCCCACTGAAACAAACTACACACAGCCTATGGCCCCTATCCATTACTACACATTAATTCAAACCTAAAAGAAGTATCATCTTGTCCAAGACAAACAATTTTCAAGAGCATTTTCACTTGTTTCTGCAGGGGAGGCGTCTGACCCCCACTGTGCCAGCTGAGGCAGATCGGTGCTACCAGGCAGGGGTAAGTGGACCACGATGAATACCCAAAAGAAGCTTTCTTGCCGGGAGGCTGGGACTGAGGGACACTGAGACCTTTGACCACAGAGCCTGTATTGCCATGCTTCCCATCACTGCTGGCTCTTCAAATCAGTGTGGAGACACTACCATTTAATGCAGCAGAAAATATACTGTTACCATGACTCTCTGTCATCCTGTTTTTTACAGCCTTTCCTCATCCAGGATTGCCAGTGGTTTAGGAAGGAGGCAGGAGTTGCCCTGCTTTTCTTTTTTAGGAGTATTTTCCCAAGACACATCAAGGGAGGGAGCCTGGCTACCCCATTCCCTCTGGAGAACTTTGCACTTTCTTCACTAAAACCTTGTTTTCCTGAAAACAGAAGCTAAACCTCAGGCTAGACTATATTAACAGATAGTATAGCCCAGCCCAGTCCAGCCCAGTGCACCAGACTCTCCTGGGAAGATGTAAAATGTGAAGTGTGGTTCCCTAGCTCTGCCTTGGCTGGACACCACAAATGTGTGCATGTGCGCACGTGCCTATGTTTATGACAAATGCTCTCTTCCTTTCCCCTCCTCACACAAGTGTTTATTTCCTTGGAAGATAAGAGAATTAATCTGATGGCAGAAGATAATCAGGATTTTCCCTCTACACATAATATAAAATACTTCGTGAGTACATATTTGGATATACTGTATATATGTCCACAGTTTTGACTCCTGAACAGGAAGGATCAGATTTTTAAAAGTATTATACATATAGCAGAATACTTTGAAGACCCTTATGAAAATTCTTCTCATTTGCCACCTTTGTCTTTAAGCATCTACATCTGGGGGGTTTCAAAGGGGAATTTTTATAATGCTGTTTTGTGCCTATTTGCATTTCAAGGCAATTAAGACTCCAAAAAATATCCCCAAGAGGTATTGATACTAGGAGAATGTTTGGTTTCATTAATGGTTATTTAGTTTTTCTTAAGGCTTCCTTTATCTTCAGAACACATTTGGGACAGCCATGGGATCAATTAAGTAGGATTAACTAATACTATGACTCATCAACATACAGGATTTCAACATGTGCTTGAATACGTCCAACAAAAAGGTGCTGCCGATCCTTGTTCCAGTGGCGTTCCTCCTGTTAATTGGCATGTAAGGTGCTTTCTTCTTTCAGCTTTGACTTTTCACCGAGTCATCTTCATTATTCAAAGTGCCATAGCATGAACTGTGAGAATCTGGTTGTATTTTGCCTGTCAATTTTTGTCCTAAGGAAATGGGGTGAGAGAAGGGAAAAACAACAACTCTGTGAAGAATTATAATAAAACAAATCCCCCACCAATCCATCATTTCAACATTCTTTGCTCCAGTAATCATTGTTTTCATTTGACTGGTTGTAACAATAGCTTGGAAAAACTCTGAAAAATTCTTTGAAAAATCTGTTGGGAACAGGAATAGAAAATAAGGGAACAGTATATTTATTAAATATGACTAGAGCACATTTGTGACTCAGCTCTCCTAGGTCATCTCATTATCTGATATCTCATTTTTAAACAGAGAGACAGAAAAAAAGCCTGACTTACCGGGAATATGTCCATAGTCAATAAAAAGAATTTGTAAATGTTCCTCTTTTTTATTTCTTGCAATTACAAATACACCAAGGAAAGATAGGAGACACCTGCAAAATAATAGTGGCGTAGTATCATTAGAAACAGTTCACTGCATCTGAGATGAGAATTTCTTTCCACGTTTCTTTTTGAAGGACTCCCAAACTCAAGCTGCTCAGTTTATAAAGAAACTTTTCTTCCTGGCAGCTCTATAAATTTATCCTGGGCTCCCTTTCAGTCTAGTTTTTGCCTCCAGAAGCTTTATTATCAGTTCCAAAAGCTCTGCAGGCAAAATTACACTTTCAGCAATATATACCTAATCAAATGCCTGTGAGTGTGAGACCACAACATTTGAATCCCTGAGCGAATCTTCACAGAGCATCTAAGCTAGCATTCTAGCATTTGCAATTTCATTAACAATTCAGTCTAGCTGCAGACAATCAACATCTCTGTTGTTTTTCTCGTTTGACTTTGTGTCTCAGGGGCAAGCAGTAAGCCAGGAGCAATGAGAAACTGCTATGCTTGGATAAATCTTCTATCCGCTCTGTGTTGGACACAAAACCACTAATTCCTGCCTGCCAAATACATGGGTTGAATTTGCTCATCTCCATTTTCTGTCACTTTTCCTGCAGTCAAACAAGATAGCGGTTGTGTGCACCTCCGTGCCGACTGTAGAGCATGAAGATGTCTGTAGCTATCAGCCCCATTTATTTGACAGCACTGTGGCAAGACACCTCCAGCAGTTCTGGGAGGTGCTTTTAACCATCTCACACCCATTATCAAGTAACTGTCACCTGTCCCCAGAGTTGTTACGGTGCTGGTAGCCAGCAGAAGGTTTCTGCTCTCACAACACCTAGGCCCTTCTTCAAATGTTTGTTGTTAACAGCTTCTTAGCATGCTCTGAACTTTTCCACAGGCATGCTGTGTCTTTCTCAGCACAGGAGGATGAGGGAGAGATATTATAGTCCTGCCTTGTAGGCAAGCAACTCATGTAATTGCCCATGCCTAATGGCAGCAAAGACCAGCCCGACATGCCAGTGGAAGGTAACATGGGAGATTTCTCGCAGTTGTTAAAGCACCCCCTATAACATGATCTTGGTGGAGAGCAGTGATTTCTTCTTCCTGCTGGAGGAACACATGCTGCTGGTTTTTCATTCCATCATGAGATTAGTAGTTCATAAGTGTCTCACATTTTTACATATTTGGATTCAAAACCAGGCCTCCAAACTCCCAAAGCACAGACATCAATCTTTCCTTTAATGTTTTTTTATCCTACTATAATGGCTATTCCATAATACTTTAATAACAAGACGGGTTTCTTCTTACTGAGAAAAGAAGGGATTCCGCAAGGCAATGCTGTTTCAGTACAAACGTTAGTGCAGATTTTAGGCCGATACACTTACCCGAACAGAAACATGAACACGTTCAGCAAAGCTGCACTTTGGAATTCCCGATAAAATACGACCCCTGGAATGTGACAGAAACAAGAATTGCAGATCTTGACTGGCTTCCAAGTGATATGAATTACAGCTGGGAGGGTCAGGAGCAGTGTCATGCTCAAACGGAGCAAAAAAATCCCAAATAAGGTATTAATACACATTGTGATGGGTTCACTTTATGTGCCCATATTCCATTTTCTAGGCTTTCTCAAGATACTGCATGGGACTGGAGAAGATTTAGTCTATCAATCAGGTTGGAGCATGTGCTATGTTAGTAACTGCACAAATGCAGGTATTTTTTGCACTGTCAGCAACAGTTTTGATGCAGGTCAAACTCAAGGTCTTATTCACAAGCAGAGTCATACCAATATAACTAACAGGTTCTTCATGGATTTAGTTAAGCCACTCCAACAGACCTTGTGGACATCTTAACTCCAATTGGGAACAGGTTTTTGATAACTAGCTGTGTCCCTGATGTTTACACCAAGTTAAGGGCTCCAGCAGCCAAGTTTGCCAAATCTTTCTGGCTGAAGGGATCACTAGCTCTTTCTGGTCACCCCTCTTCCAGGAATTAGTACCTCTGCAGTGGAGGTGACAGAACCAGATGTGTATCTGGATCTCAGCTGCCCCAATTCACAGCCAAGTATATTAGCTTTAAACCACTGATGAGCATAGTTTTGCTTAGAAACACCAGAGTGTGAACCAGCGCAGCTGAAGTGTGACTGTATCTTCAAAGGCCATAACTTGGGATGGGGGAATCATGAGATGAGGTATCTTCTACGAGCACCCCAGCAAGATTCATCAGAGGTTGTTCTTCTAAGCCCTACACTGGTTTAACTAACGTGGTGCAAATGCATGTGTATCCAGTCTCAAAGCTATTAAGCCATTCCTGAATAGGTACTTGATCTTTTAAGGAGGCACAAGGCCAAATTCCCCATATGGTCACAAGAACGCAACCCCCTTTTGGCACAAGTCTCCCCTCAGTCACAAAGTGTAGGTCTCTTCTAACACAGGTGCTGAGGCAATCTGTGCATGAAGCTAACTCCCCTTCTCATTAATGGCAGCTCTGCATGAGAAACTCCTGAACAGCAATGACAGGAAAGCCCCCAGTGTGTGTTAAAATGAGTCATAAATGTTCTAACAACATGATCATTTTGGCTCATTGCTGATACAGCATCTTAGTCGTCCTCCCTGCTCATGTTCTTACACTGCGCACCATTTCCAAGATTTGCAGTCCCTCTTTAACAACGCTGAGTTCAAAGTTCTCACCCAGAATAAAATGTTAAATGCTTAAAAGGTCTTTGGAGTCATTTTATTTCCTTCACTTAACCTAGAATTCCACCTTCTGAAATGGAATATACACTAACTACTCTGAAACACAGCTGGTTGTCATTTGAGTAGTTTGCCAGGCTGTTAAAATTACTCTACCAGTTAGGATATGGAGAAGCTGGTGTGCACATGGTAAATGCATTTACTGGATGTCAAGATGCGGCTGGGATAAATGCAGGTACTTCTAGTAAGCCAGCAAGGCACAGTAAACTGTACATATCAGTTCTAGAAATGCTAGAATTTGATTATTTTTATTTTGCTTTGTAAGTTGTGAACTTACTCATTTTTCAGAACTTAAACACCTGTCACTTAGGAAAAACTTCTTTTTGTGAAGACAAACATGACTGACTGGTTTGTGTTCCTGTTCACCGGCAGCGATTCTTGAAAACCTGATGTTTAGAAAATCATTCTGTAGAGGCAGAAGGCCAGAAACAAACCTGAAATGATGGCACTGGTGGTGAAGAACACAAAATTAATGGGCACAACTGCTGTCACTTTGTACAGATGCGTTGCTTGATTCAAGAACCTGGAAGACAAGCGTTATTGCACCTCATGCCTACACGAGGTTCATTGCACTTTAAGTCAGGTTAAGCCACTTTATGTCAGTTTAACAATAAGCATGACCATTTCTTACCACAACAGCAAGTAGCCCGGGACAGATGCATATGTGTATTGAATTTACCTTCTAGTTTTGGCTCTGCAGAGTACAAACAAATAGACGAAAGCAAGAAGGCTGGTATGGATTCTCCTGGCCATAGGCTGTCATTAGAGAGTCCTCTGAAGCAGCATTGGAAAATTTTTGTCTGCCACAGATAAGGGAGAAATGCTAGGGTATTACTGCCTATGGTCTGCATCACTTCTTGGAAGCAGTGCTCCCTGTGAGCAGCCAGGGACAAGTTGCTCTAATTTAAACAGGTTGTATAAGGGTATATTTCCAGCACAGACATGAACACGCAAGTCCTCATAGGAACTGTTTTACTTTGCTGAAGTCCACATTGCTGCTACTGCTCAATCCAATTTGGCTAAAACACATATTTGTATGTTTATCCACGCAATCGTACCCCAGACACTCTGTCCTGCTGGGAAAGTCCAGGAAGGTGGCTCCAAGCCTGTGCTCCTTGAGTTGGAAACTCTCTGCTGTGCTCCTCAGAAGGGCAACACAAACCCTCACCAGAATCATGAGCAAGAGTGTGCAGGACAACAGGAGCGTACACTGCAGACAAACCTGCAGGACCGAGACATTGGCCATGGAGCAGCCTGCACAGTCTGCATCAGCGGATGAAGAAGGCAAAGCAATTAACCCACTTGTACGGAGACCAGAGCTGTCAACATTTACCCATAGGGTGATGAATCATGAGTGTGAACTCTCAGATGCACCGACAGATACTTTGTTATGTGAATGGTGCATTTCAGACCAAAAGAGAAAAATCAGGAGGCTGCAGAGTGTATTCAAAACCTATAAAAAGAACCATACTTAAATGTTTCACTGGTACAATATATGTGCACAGTAAAAATCCAAGCTTGGATCTGTTTTAGCCATTAAAGTAATTGCATGGTTATTTTAGCAACTGTTGAACAGTCTCCATGGTGCTTTAAAAATAAAGAAATCCTACATATCCACAGGATAGTCAGGATTTTGAAGTCATTGAAAACACCTCATTATTTTCTCCCATTTGCAACAAACTTGGTCACAGGGACTAAAACAGTGATACCAAAGCCCAGCATTGAATCCAGGAGGATGTTGCAGCACAGGCTGTTCTGAGCTAACACATGACAGTCAAATAAAATAAGAGAGGAAACAAATAAAATGAAAAATGTAGAATGACAGCACTGTCTCTGTTAGAAAATGTGTCCAACAGAGAAGAAAGAGACACTGAACCCAGGGAACAAAATGGGCACATTTCACTTCTGTTTGACCCAGCAAATGAAAGAAAGAAAAAACTGGCAAGAAGAAGAGGTTAATTCAGCAACTTCCTATTTACCAAGCTTTTATTTCCTATTTTAAATGCCCTGAGATGTTCTCCCAGCAAAGACAAGCTGGATGTAAATCACTGTATAATCTGTTACAGGGGAGTTCCTGAGTCAACCATGGAGAGTCACTGCATAATAACACATGGACTTTCTGAGTCCACATGGGAATGGTATGTTCTGCCACGAGAAAGCTGGGTTGGCTCTTCTACCGGAAAATAATCATGCAAGTAAACACTCAGACTCGCACTGGAGCAGTCTAGATGAGATTACTGAATGATGCTATCAGCACCTGAAGCAGAGGGACCGGCATAAAGGGAATGGACTCTCTGTTCAGCTGCAAGCCATATTTTACCACGCTGCCACCCCCAGCAATCTGCGAAGGCAGCATAAAACAATCACTTAGCAGGCCAGAGGCCAGCAGGGAAAACTCTGATGTCCCCTGCACACGAAAAGTTAACTGTTTCCTAAAAAGGTACAGATATACAGGGTAGCAAAGTGCAACATGCAGATTTAATAGAGGCAGGGAGAAAGCTGGGGTAAACTCTCTTCTTTGGTCTGATGAGTGACATAAGCTAGGGAAAAGAGATGCATAATGAGGGTAAACGTGGCCATTTGATTATTCAGCAGTGAAGGTTGCTAAAAGTAACAAAAAAAAATTACATAAATATAAATTTTATTTCATGAGTTCAAAACCTGTGCCAAAACTAGAACTAAATTTGGGAGGACCTTGTATAAGGTGATAATGAGATGAGGTAGCATCTGTGTAATTAATCAATGATAAACTGAGACATAAAGCCTAAATAAAAGATATAATCAGCTGTACGCAATTCATGAATCTGTGAAGGCGCTACCAGGAATTTGTTGCCTTTAAGTGCAACTTGGATCTGGAGTCAATATCAGTACTGAACAAAGCGGACAGATAAATGGGTACAAAAGTTAGGAGATAAGTAGAAACTCACTTACTTGACTTGGAAAGCACAAGAAGTTGCCATTAAAACAATCATGATATAGAAAACAGGATAAGTTAGCTGCATTTTCCCCTTCGCAGAGAGTGTTATCATGCTGGCCACAGCCTTTACAGCAATGACAGTCAGCGATGCTGAAAGGGAAAGGGAGAGATTAGCAGGGCAGGATTCACAGCAGGGACCTCAGAGCATCAGTGAGGGAGGACAAGGTGCCAGGTCAGAGCCACAGAGCTCATCACCTGAGACACTGAGGTAGGATTTGGGCACCTAAAGCCAAGCGTGTCATTTTATAAACACTTGCTAGGGTACTGCCTCAACTCCGAGTGGCCTTAACTCCATGTGTGCTCTGTGTTTTGTTTGGAAGTTCTTGTAGCACTGAGGTCTGCAACCCTGCATCTACCCAAAGTTTCCCCATTCAATAGGGTAGCTAAGGTTAGAGTCAGATAAAATCTTGCAAGGTAGGACTCTGTGTGCATCTGTGAGAGAGGCTGAGCACAGGTAGAGGAAAGAACTGGATCCATTTCCCACTGCTGGGCACATGTCCTAAACACTGGAGTACCAGTCAGAGGCAGTACAACAGCCTCCACATCTTCCAGACATGCTTTATTTAGCTCCAGCTGCTAATTTGGAGCCTATGGTGCATTATTCAGGTCTGAGAGATCTGAGGGGTCTCGTTATCTGTTCAAAGCATCTGGGACACGTCCTAATAGCAGCCTACATGTGACACCAGCAGCCTAAAATAACTCCTCACCTTCAGGATTTCTCTGCTGAGACAGGAGCTGGCCAAAGCTGGCCAAAGCTGACTTTTGGGGTCGTATCATGAAGCACCTAACTCTCCCCGGTGGTTATGTACAGAGAGCAGACAACTAACACAGGGGTCTGTGTTTCGTTTCAGGGCCCAGGCTCTTAAGACCATTACTGGATTTAGCCCACCAAATAGGACACTTCAGTAGTGTGTTTTCAATCCCTTTAGTCACTGTCATTGCATCACCACAAACAAATCTCAGACAGCAGGCAATGGTTTTAATACATGTTGCCAGTTCAGAGAAGTCTTGCAATATACATCTTTTAGAAAAGGGGCTGTCAGTTCAGCTAAGAGTTACTTTAGATTTCCTTTTGGAGTGCGCTCTTGGTTTGTTGAAGCTAACCCAAGTAGGCTGTGATTACTGCAAATAAAATATAACAAATTCAAAAGAAACTAAAAATTATAAGAAGAGTCAGGGTGCAGAGATGACCTTTGAATAAAGGTAACTGATGGTCAGGAACACCGTCCCCCAGCTGGGATCTAGTTCCACCCTCTTCCAGAGCTGAGGAGTGTTGGATTTCAGTGGTCTGATTCATCCTCCTGTAACTGCAAAATTCAGATTGGCAAGGAGAGCTGCACTGTGCAAAAAGTTCAGGCCAAGGGCTGGGAGAAAAGGTGGGGCAAAAAGAACAAATTCAGGTCTGTGGTTTTGATTGCAAGCATTTTTCTTATAGCAAGTCCAAAAGTTCAGGGAGAGTTTAAGAGTTGCATACATCTTGTGATGTTCCTGTCATCATGAAATTCACTTTTTTCATGACAAGCTTTCCACCTAGTACTTCACTCCTTGCTCTGTAATGGAAATAGGCAGAGCAGTTCAACAAACACAGCAATAAAAGTGAGCAGAGGAGGTCAGATCCTGGCCTGCAGTGGTGCTGATGGTGTGATAAAAACCCAAAAAATACACTCAAGCCCCAACAAGCAGCCTACGTAAAAACTGAGATTTGCACTCTAACATGGGGGAGTTATGATTTTAAAAGAACACTTACAAGTAAAAGTTAGTAGTTTGAATTGTCCGACTAAGGGTAAAGATTGCTGAAAAATTGTTTCTGATGAAAGGGCAGTTTCCATCCCTTTTAATTTTAACAAACAGAAAAGAAAGCATCAGGGTGGGTTGTTTTTTTTTTCATTTGAGTTTGAATTTTTTTTGAAAAGTGGAATGATCTTGTTAGTTATAGTAGCCCTGGAATAAGTTTCAAAACCTTGGAAATCATTTTCCTGTCTCTGATAGAATGACCCCCCCCAAGGCTAGTGTGACAAATGATGTCACTTTCCAGCTGTTAGGGCAGGAAGCTCAGAAATCCCACTTTAATCTGAAATATTTCTCCCAAAACTTACGATAACTCCCAGTATATACATGAGGTAAGATAATTCTCACCAAATGAACTTGCAGAGTTCTACTAAGCAAAATGTTTGCAGATTTTCTGATCACCTCTGTATTTTCTTCACAATTAAAGTAGCTCTCATATCCAATGAAGCTCAAAAGCTGCCTTCTTTTAAAAGAAACCTTTCTACATTTCATTTGCATCTGTACAAACCCTCCACCAGGAATGCATCTGTGCAGATATGAGAAAAGGCAGAAATCCCCTTCCATGAGCTGCCATTGACAATTTTCTGTACAGAGACCCCAAGCCTCGTCCACCCCTCCCGCAGCCAGGGCCCTCCGAGAGCAGTGCGTGTGTCAGACAGCTGGGAGCAAAGCTCCCAAAGGCCATCACTTTGCTCAGCAGAAAGGTTCGAGAGCAGGCAGAAGACTCTAAGTGTAGCTTCGTGGGGACTGCCAGGCACCAGGACGGCTGCAGGAACAGCCAGCCACAGTTCCGGGTTTCCTGCTCGAGGGAAATGTCAGTATTTCAAAAGTTCCCATGAACCAGGACTTGTTTGTTTGTTTCTTCTTTAATAGAGCAGAAAAAATGACACATTTTTCCTGAAGCTTCATATGTTCATGAAAACCTCAGCAGCCACCAGCTGAAATTGTTATTTTTGGTTGATTGCAGCCTGACAGCCAAACTGCAGTTAGTGCCTGCTGGGGCACAGGCCTGTAGCCCTGCTGCTGTTCAGCAGCTCCACATGTCCCTTTGGCACCGGTGGCATCAGGGCTGGCAGGCTCCACGACAAAATAAACATGCAGGGCTATGCAGCCCAATGGCCCAGGTCTCCCAGAGCCATGTGTTGACCTTACTTGGGGCAGCCATCATAGTGGGCCTGCCCAGAACTGCAGCAGTCAAGTGTAGAAGCCGATCTGGGGATCTTCAGGCTTCCAGCTATGCGACAAGGAGGCTGGGCCCGCTCGTAGCTCCTCATGGCACGGTTAGAAGCTGCAGAGCAGCTCAAGTAAGCTCTGCCAAAGCTCCCAGGCTCCATGCTAGGAGCTAAGGGATGGCTGGACTCACACTTCACTCCTCCAAACCAAGAGCAGTCGAACAGTTAGACCTAAGGCTTTTGGGGCTCTTCCACCTCTGCCTCATGCAGGGAGCATGGAAATCCTTCAAGGGTTCTGCAGAGCTACACATCCTGATGTTCCTAGTGCTGGGAAACTTAAATGGGAAGACTGTCCCAAAAACGTTGACCTGAAAGTCTGAGATTTTCAGCTGGGTAAGAAACCAGTCAGGGTTCTGAAGGAAGGCAGTTAATAAATCTGTGAGGGTTTTTCACATTCAGTTAAATCCAAATTGTATAACTGGCTAACTTTAGTGAAATTCTGTTTTTTCAAAACACTCATGACCAGCTCCATTAGAAATGTGCTTTATAAGCCTTTGCAGACTGATACATGGACCCGCTGAACTCAGTGAAAATATAACCATTGACTTCAGTGGCACAGTTCAAGCACCTTTCACTTCAACCAAAGAAATGTGGTGTCTCATCAGGGTTTCATGGACAAGTGACAAGATAAGGATGGGAGAAGACACGGGGTGGTGACAAATTCTTAATATATGCCTGCAAGCAGTGGAGCTTCAGAGATAGCCTCCTGACATTTTTTGAAACCGATTCAAGTTTAACCTTATCGAAAGCTGCCTGATAAAATGATCTCCCTTGTTTCCCTGGGTATTGATTGTGGCAATGTTAATCAGAAGGCAAACTTCAGTGGCCCACTGAGTTCTTGCTATGCTTCTGGGAAGTGGTAAAGTATGAAATGTTGCATATGCAAACAGGCATAGATAATTCAAAGAAAAGTTCCCGTACAGTCACAGCATATCACTGCATTTGCTTACAGAGTGCTTACAAAGTCTTAAGCTGCTCTGATTTTTGCAGCTAGCCTGCTGTCCTGGTTTCAGCTGGGACAGAGTTCATTTTCTTCTTAGCAGCTGGTATAGTGCTGTGTTTTGGGTTTAGGATGCGAATAATGTTGAAACAGTGATGTTTTGGTTCTTGCTAAGTGGTGTTAAGGAAGAAGAAGGAAGGGGACGTTCATCGTGATGGCATTTGTCTTCCCAAGTAACCATTACGCGTGATGGAGCCCTGCTTTCCTGGGGATGGCTGAACACCTGCCTGCCCATGGGAAGCAGTGAATGAATTCCTTGCTTTGCTTTGCTTGCGTGCGCGGCTTTTGCTTTACCTATTTAACTGTTCTATTTTATTTTACTTCAATTATTAAACTGTTCTTATCTCAACCCACGAGTTTTCTCCCTTTTACCCTTCTGATTCTCTTCCCCATCCCACCGGGGGGGAGTGAGCGAGCGTCTGCGTGGTGCTTAGCTGCTGGCTGGGGTTAAACCACGACACCTGCTCTCCAGAACAAAGTTGCAAACAGTTCCCTTTCCCGGGATCTAAAGCTAAAGTGTTATTTAAAAAAAAGCTTCATAATACCATTGCACTCAGCATATTAATTTCAGGAAATCTGTAAAAAAGAACTAGTCCCAGCAATAAGCATAGAAACTATGTTTCATAATCAGCTTTCCTCTTCAAAAAGAGACCACAGTAATAATCACGTGAAATGTTTCAATGACTCTCCTTCAGCACACTGCTTTGAAATGTCCCTAATCTAAACTAGCTGGGGAGACTGAGTGACAGGGAATTATCAAGTAACAGACAGGAACATTAAAGTGAATAATATGTTCTTACCCAGTAGTGCTACCATCATTAACAAAACCACGATGTGCTTCACAGCCTTCCTTTTGTAAAAATAGAGGAGAAGGCAGAATATTATAATTTCTAAGATCTGAAAATAAAAGGAGAGATAGTTAGAGCTGTGAAACTATGTAATAAGTGCTCCATTCAAAGTCTTTGAGATGTCACATTCATTTTCTCTGCTCTAACAGTTCAAAGGCGAATTACTTTATTAAGCATCTTCTGCTAAAAACTAACCTTATTGCCAGTTGACTGAGCTACCAAATAATTGTTGTCATTTATCTTTCCTATTATAGCAAAAGTTAAACTTTGAGCATTTCCTATTTCTTTAGTTTTTGTTTTTGCACTTCTAACTATATTTTGTCACTGGTAGCATTGAGAAGATTTTTTTAATGTGACAGCAAAGATACCCATGTTTATTGGTAATAATTCTTACAGAAACTCTGTTTATGATTCCTATGGAGTAAAGCACTTACCTGGAGGAACAGCAATCTCTCCTAGCTATGGTATTCCTAGTGTCACTCTTTTTGACATGGAAGCTTATTTTTGCTACCCTCTTTGCCCTTCTCCCCAGTCCTACTAAAAAAAATCCCCCCGAACACTGTCTTTTTGTTCAAACTTTCTGCCATACACCGTAAGGAGGAAAACATTTATTTCATGTGGTGGTTCTCAAATCACAGGTAGCTGTCAGGAGCTTACCTTGAAAACCTCAATGACACAGTAGCAGACCACACTGCAGGACATCTGCAGCTGCTGAAGCCGCTTTACCTACACTGTGGTGGTCCAGACTTGCTCCTTCAATAACACCTGACAGCTAAATGACAGACAGTTAAATTTACTGACTTGTTGTTAATGTGTCTCTTTGCAGATTCCCTTAGTAACTCTTCCCTTTTGCCGTCTCAAAAGCATGGGTATTCTCCCTCCTACTCACATTGCCCAAATACTCCTCCATGCCTAAAGAAAACAGCAAGAGCCAAAAAGCTTTTGTGAAGCCCAGAAGACTCATGAAAACAGGGATGCTGGACCTCTGCACTGAGAGGTGCTCAGAAGCTTGCTAGCCTTAGAGACTGCATGGAGAAAGAGAAGTTCGTTTGTACATGTTGGAAAGTAATCAAATGGGGGAAATAAGACAGAGAATGAGGTTGTCATCATTAATGAATCTGGTCATTGTCATTTTTTACCAACAAAAAAGGTCATAGAAAAACCTCATGTCTATCATCTCCTTGCTTTCATCACCAACATACTAATTTATGTTTTATTATGCCACTCCACTCTTAAACCAGCAGTCGCCATAAGGCAGCACTAGACTCGAAAAGACCTGGGTGTTGCGCTGATGAAATTTCCAAAGAAGAGACTGAAGAGTTACTAGTGGCGGTTATATAATGTGACATAGCTGATCTCTCATGTTGGACAGTGACTGCAGCAGGAAAGCCGTCAACAGGCTGGATCGATGGGCCGGGGCCAACTGCATGAGATTCAATAAGGCTCAGTGCCGGGTCCTGCACTTCGGTCACAACAACCCCATGCAACGCTACAGGCTGGGGGAGGAGTGGCTGGAGAGCTTCGTGGCAGACAAGGACCTAGGGGGTGTTGGTTGACAGCCACCTTAACAGGGGCCAGCAGTGTGCCCAGGTGGCCAAGAGGGCCAATGGCATCCTGGCCTGTATCAGGAATAGTGTGGCCAGCAGGACCACGGAGGTGATAGTGCCCCTGTACTCGGCACTGGTGAGGCCGCACCTCGAGTACTGTGTTCAGTTTTGGGCCCCTCACTACAAGAAGGACATGGAGGTGCTGGAGTGTGTCCAGAGGAGGGCAACGAAGCTGTGGAAGGGTCTGGAGCACAAGTCTTATGAGGAGCGGCTGAGGGAACTGGGGTTGTTTAGCCTAGAGAAGAGGAGGCTGAGGGGAGACCTGATTGCTCTCTACAACTACTTGAAAGGAGGCTGTAGTGAGGTGGGGGTCAGTCTCTTCTCCCTAGTAACGAGTGACAGAACGAGAGGAAACGGCCTCAAGCTGCGCCAGGGGAGGTTTAGGTTAGAGAGTCTCCATCCCTGGAGGTATTTAAAGAACGGATAGATACGGTGCTTGAAGACACGATATAGATGGACTTGGCAGTGCTACGTTAATGGTTGGACTCGATGATCTTAAGGGTCTTTTCCAACCTTGACGATTCTATGATTCTATAATTCTATCAGCTACATTCAGCTACTAAAATTCTCTACCACATTCACACTTCCCCCAGTTTAGTAGTGTTCAAAAATATGAACAGAACATAATTATGCTTTAATTCATTTTTTATTTACCTTCACACTGATCCCTTACTCTCAAAAACAACTGAGAGACAATTGCATCTCAGAACATTAAAAATACAAATTTGGATTTTATATCACCTTTCTTTAAAAAATGTCAAATATTTATCACAAGATTAAAAAAACCTGAAGTGTTTTTGTTTTGTTTTGGGTTTTTTTTGTAAAAATGTGTTGAATATAATAAAGCATTTTGCTGTTGGTTAAAAAAAAGCATTCCTGGACTAAGCCTTGTTTAATAACCTTTGCAATCTCTTGTGGAGTGCTGGTCTCATCTCCCTCCAAAGTGACATCCCTCCCCACCAGGCTTGCACCCAGAGGTGAAAGCTGGGCCATCAGATAGTAGAACAGAGGCCTTTGCCTCAGTCTCACAGTAAGTAACTTGGCCAGTCTCCCCAGCTTTATTCAACAGTGTAACACTGGGTATGTCTTCATAAGGAACCAAGGCAGAAGTCGTGTTAAGATCTGTAGACATGTGAGTTCATCTTGGCCGCCCTGTGGAAAACTACGACAGGGTTTTGAGGGAACTTCAGAAGAGAAGTAAAGGTAGCAGCTTCGCTCTTCATGCCACTGGCAAACACATCTTAGGGCCAGAAGGGAATACTGCGTTATCAGGCTGCAGCTACAACAGCCTCCGAATAGCTTCAGTTGCTATTTTGACAGTGAACAATTGCTAACAGAATGGAAGAAAGCTGTGCTAAATAAATATTCCCCACGTGGAAAGGTACACAGGCTAAGAAAGAAGTTCCAGGGATGTCCCAGGTATCCTCTTCCCTGACGTGCCAGTTCAGGACTCGCACACAGGATGTGTGACAGGGATGGGGCCATGGCACCAGGTAACACAGCACTGTGAAACCTGCTTCCCACCAAGTGCAAACCTGAGCACCCGTTGCCTCTCCCACACCCTCAGAGTGGTTGCCACAGAGTGTGCAGAAACCCACAAGACAGCCCTACCGTAGCCAGCCAGCTACACCTCAGGTATTGATTCATTTTATATCCCCTAGACAACTTTAATCACTATGCCAATAGAAGGAAGCACCATCATCTGCCCTGTGACTTAGATTTCAAACTACAAGAACAATCATCCAAAAACAAGCCCAGGGACAGTCGCTGGCTCAAACCGCTCCATCACACCAGCTCTGGTGTTCCACTCCCTCTTCCACCTCACTCCAGCCCCCAGCATGGCAAGTAGTGCCGAGCACCACTGACCTCGATTGAGCCAAGTCACTGCTGCTGGCTCTGCCCATCAGCCCTCCATCAGTCCTCATCCTGTCATCAGCTCTTCTCTTGCTAAAGCTACCACACATCTCCACTGTGATCTCCTCCTGTTTAAAAGCAAATAAACACACCAAGAAGACTCACTTCTGAAAGGAAACAGACAAGCAAAACCATCAAAAGGACATAAAAGAGTCCCTGACGGCAACTTCAGAAGGGGTGCACAGGTCTGTGTGCTTGGCTGCTTCTGCCTCAAGCCCCAAGAGCAGGAGTGGTGTAGGGCCAGAGATGGCAGTCCTGTGGCCAAACGTGGGGAGAAAGCTGATGTTTGCTTTTCAGGGCTGTTATTTAAGTTTACTCAGATCTGTCAAGTCTCTCACACTAAGCATGAAATTCAAACAATTAGTTCTCACCTCGTGCTGCCCAGCAGCCAAACTGTTCTGCCATGGTTCTCTGCCGCTCAGTGACCCACCAACAGGTCACCTTTAATCACAAGACAAGGGAGAGGCCAACACCTTGAGTCACTCTGCAAGCAGAGTGCATGGCTCCTAACAGGACCTCACGCAGACAGGGACCCTCCTGGGGTACCTCAGCAGTTACCTATGATTGTGTCCTGAGAATTACCCAAAATAGCGCTTGCTCTCATAGTTGATAGCTGTGATAGTGTTAAATACAAAGTCCAGGAATGGGAAGTGCGTAGATTGTATCAGCTTCACATATTCTGTTTAGAGGAATTGAAGGAACTTGACCTGCTTACAATCATTTTTGCTATTATAACTAATCTCTACTGAAGTCTCCTCAAGCCCACATCTCATCAACATTTTTTTATAATTGTGATGTTTTCCATGTTTCTAAGCATTACCAGAAGGCACGAGAACAAAATGTCACATTGTCTGCCTCAACTGTTTTTCTCGGATATACAGCAACATAGGCACCAATGAACCATGCGGGTCTTCTAGGCACTTTGAAGGAAAAGCAGAAATGCTTTGAACCTGATTTTACAGAGATTAAATATTAACAATCCAATATTCACTATGCTTCTGTTTAGGGAAACCTAAGAGCTTTATCTATAATTGATGTCTTCTGTAGTGACTCAAAGGGCACATAAGCAAAAGAGAAAAAAAACCAGCTACAATAGTAGTTCTTGCTCAGACACGATTATCCTACTGCAAAGTCTCAGAAAGTGACTCAAAGTTGTCTCATGTGGGAACTAGAGGCTATTTCTGCAGAACTCCTCCGATGCCAGTGGAGAGCCACATGGGGACGGCTTATCACCCACACAGAACATTTTGTGCCACTGGGGCTTTGTATTTCTCAGCAGACCACACTTCAGGTCTACTTTTAGAAAGACTGTTGGACTGCATTATACTGCTGTACTGTCTCCTCGCTATATATTTATACTGGAAACTCTGCAAATTCTGCTGTGCTTTTTTATATCTCGGCAGCCAACCTGTGCTAGGCATTTTACAAACAATCATGAAGAGCTAGTTCCCTGCCCAAAGGGAATGTTCACAGCAGGGTTTGCTTGAAGTCCCAGCAGCATACCAGGATAATCAGGCTGGTATCTCAGAGTCTCTTGTGGGGCCTTTCACTCCTCCCTGTTCTTTGGACAGAAGAAGCTCAAAACAGCTGAATCCAGGGAGCAGAAGGAACAAATAAAGCTTGATATGTTGTTGAGTCAACAAGATTTGCTGTGTACTTGCTCCATCCTTCCCTGCAACCCATGCTGTACATGTGGAATTGGATGCTAGCTGAGGCAGGGAAAAGAGAGAAGATGGGAAAGTCCAGGGGTGACCTAGCATCTCCTCATAATGTCTCCTAAGAAGAATATAGCACAGTCTTCCTAGGCATTCAACTGTGTTCTTATTAACTTTTCCTGAAACAAAGTCAAAAAAGCCCTCAGATGGGGAAAAGCCCTTTTCCAGCAACCTGTTGGTTTTAAGAAAATGTGAAGACCGTATAGCACAGAGATTTCTGGTGTCACTGGGTGTAGATGGAGAGTTTTTCACTCCACCACCTGTACACAAATGGGTGACGCAGCAATTTAAAATCAGTGCCTAAAATGCCAGGCTGTTCTAGTATCTAAAGGTGGAACTGCATGGTAGAGGGGGATATTCAGTAGGAGAGAGAGAGGGTCCTCCAGTGAGCACCAAGACCCCTCTTCTGAACTGGCTCCTAAAGAAGTCCCTCTCCCTCTGCTGATTACATGGATTTGCTGAAGCTCTTGCTGAGGCTGAAGCTACCCTTACTGAGCACCCTAAAACTCTTGGGCATTGCCTTCAAAAGCCTCTCTATTGCCTGATTGAAAGTGCATGTTATGATTGATGGAGCATGATCTTTAATTTCTTTCACTGAGCTGTATCACCATCTTTCAGAAGCTTTTAAAATGCACAAAAATTTTAGCAAGGGGATCAAGATTTTTTTTGAGTTACTGTGTACTTTCTGCTTAATCGGTAGTCTCATGGATAGTTAAGATGTATTTAAAGCCTGCAGGTTGGCTAAAAGATTAAGGTCCTTAAACTGTCTACTCAGTGGCTTTCTAACTGAACTTCCTACTGAGAAAAGCCTGGGCACTAATAATCTAACCCGCGTCACTTTACTGGGGAAAAAGTAACTGCTTCTGAAGCTCCTATATTGCATCTTTCACATTCATCTGGAGGAACAAATTTTCAGCATTCCAGAAAAAGAGAGAGAGAAATTCCTCCTACTCCCTCTGGTCTTGTTCCTGATGCTAATTAAATACATCAAAGAGGACGTATGGTATTTGAAGTTTGTATACAGATACTTTAATCAAAATGGTATTTTTGTATTTGAATTCAAACTCAGATTAACTTGAGTGGCAGTGAGGCAGGCCGCCTCTTCACATCTCAACTCTATACAAAGCTCCTTTCGGCCAGGCTTAGCAACATGGGGATAAAACAGAGTAATATGAAAGAAAAAAAGCAGGACCAAGAGCATACAAAGCCTGATTTTTAAAAGCACAAGTCCATCACATTCCAGAAAAGCACTGTAACTTAGATGTACATGCAGACAGCATGGCATGAACAAATATATAGGAAATATAAGCAGTGCTAATATTTAGGTTTTTCCTCAAGCCCGCTAAAACCCAAAATCTTTCCATTCTTGTTAATCCTGCACAACTGTGACTTTCTCCTGGCACATAGTTCAAAAGACATCTTTTGGTTCAGCATATGTTCAGCTTGGGGACTGGAGTGATGACCCAGAGACTCGCTCTGTCTCCCATGAAAATCACACAATTTATCTTCAGTAGCAGTTTTTCTGCCACTAATTCATAATGCTGCAAAAAGCCCAGTAACCCTAGTTTTTCTGATTTAGGGAGTAGTATGAACACTGGGTACTGATAGATGAAAAGCTGGACATGAGCCAGCAATGTGCTCTTGCAGCCCAGAAAGCCAACCATTTCCTGGGCTGCATCAAAAGCAGCGTGGCCAGCAGGTCGAGGGAGGTGATTCTGCCCCTCTACTCTGGGGTCCTCAGTACAAGAAGGACATCGACCTGTTGGAGAGGGTCCAGAGGAGGGCCACAAAAATGATCAGAGGGATGGAACACCTCTCCTATGAGGAAAGGCTGAAAGAGCTAGGGTTGTTCAACCTGGAGAAGAGAAGGCTCCTGGGAGACCTTATTGCAGCCTTTCAATATTTAAAGGGGGCTTATAAGAAAGATGGGGACAGACTTTTTAGCAGGGCCAATAGTGATAGGACAAGGGGTAATGGTTTTAAACTAAAAGAGGGCAGATTCAGACTAGTTACAAGGAAGACATTTTTTACAATGAGGGTAGTGAAACACTGTAACAGGTTGCCCAGAGAGGTGGTAGATGCCCCATCCTTGGAAACATTCAAGGCCAGGCTGGACGGGACTCGGAGCAACCTGATCTAGTTGTAGGTGTCCCTGCCCATTGCAGCGGGGATGGACTAGATGACCTTTAAAGGTCCCTCCCATCCCAAAGCATTCTGTGATTCTATGATTCTGTGATTCTATGAACCAGATACTCACCAAATATACCAAAAAAGGCCAGCTCACTAAGTAATTCTGTACTCTTCTTGCTGTGAGCTCTTGGGATACATTTGGAGCAAATGTGACCAACAAGTATGTCCCTGTTACTGTCAGTGTTCCTCCTTCAAAGAAAAGGACATTTTGGTAAGACAATATTTGTTAATCATGGTCATCCTTGCTCTCCAGCTGACTTGGAAATAGTTTCTAGAAAAAAATTTAAGTCCATTTAATCAGATCTGGGCTTAGGTAATTAGGTTGCCTTGCGTTTATGGTCTTATCCAGTGTAATTTTTATTAAAGACTCAAAGGATTTTGGAAATATGAAAAAGTTGTCAGTAAAGCCTCATGAATTCCAGTTCCAACTGAGTTCCAACTCAGCAAGGCATTTTCAGATACTCTCAATTCTAATACCAAGTGCATGACAAAGGAGAATCGATCCTTTGTGTTTCTCACAGGCACAAAGCAGGTCACGTAAACTTACGCTAAACTGAAAGGACAAGTTGCTTCCTGAGGCAGACAGCTAGATCATTAACCAGAGTAAATTAAGAGAGTTCTCCTGAAGTCAGTGTGGCCACAGAGATCTGCACCAGCTATGGACCTGCCCTGGAAACATTAGGTGCAACAGATATGTTCCAGTCCAATGCTCATGTGAAGCTGTCATGAAGCCAACATTTTGGCCGCTCCCTGTTGTATTTGCAGACCTATGAACTGTTTTATAAGAGGTTGATTTGCAAAAGACTGTTCAGCCATTAGGTTGCCAGGGCCCCTTTTCAAGGTCGAACTTGCATTATTGTGCTTTTAATAATAATCTGGAAGTTCTGCCTTGTGGACAGCCAGCTGACAAACACAGATGTTCATCGAGGTATTGAGATAGAAGTGAGCTGATCCTGAGCTCATAAACTGTATTGGATTAAGGAAGATATTAGTTAATCAATTTTTTTTCACGTAATCTTTAAAATTCTTGGCAAACCTATAAATTGGTGTGGAATACAAGACTCAGGAATACAAAACAAAGCACATCCGGAGGACTTTGCTGGCACTGCTATTGCGCACAGTTCCTTTGGAAAAGCAGAACTGTTCTATATTTATGTGCTTGCAAAAACATCACCATATTTCCCATCATACAGCTCATTCCTATGGAATGTAGCAACATTGTTAAATCCTTCTTGCAAAGTCGAACTCACAGAAATAAAATAAATCAGTGCTTGAACACTAGCTAAAGCAACATACAATGTATAAGGCCATAAGGGAAACATGATCAGTCAAGGGAGGGGGGATTTTGAACATAGCAGCTGAGCTGGCAAACTTGGATCCCAAACCTAAATAAATATTATATAGTATTCCTGGAAGAACACTGAACAAACCTCTGCAAAACATTCATGAGAACAGCTGGGATGTCCTTGTTATAGTATGGACAATCAAGCCTAGACACTAGGAACCCCACATAAATACCAGGTGACCCATAGCAACATCAGGTGCACTGTCCCAGCTGAGATGGCTCGTGTAAAGCCCAAAACCTGAAATTTGCTTGTCTCTCACTATTACTGTGTTTAAGCAGGGCAGTTTTGATGTGCAAAAGCCATCTTGGACATGGACAAAACTTTGACATGCTTTTACAGTGAAGACTATGTTTCCCAGCAAAACATTGACAACACGATTATTTGTTCTTTGAAGTGATAAAATTAATACCAAAAAGGAAGTTGTCACTTTTAATTGAGCTTGAATTTTTGTGCAATGTCTGTGCAGCAAGAAAAAAAAGCCCTTATACTTGAATGAATAACTCAATAGTTTAATTGTTTTTATTAAAATTGTGTTGAACTCATAAAGATAATACTAAATACAACCTCAGAGGCAAAAATAGACAATGAAAATAAATGTAAGCAATAAAGACACATAAGGAATGAGTTATGGTTATAAGAGCAGAGGATTTGGGAATGCAGTCTTTTCCACATGCATTGAAGATTTTCTCCCTTTTTGTCACTTCTTCCCAATTTTGAAAGTATCTGTCTCGAAACACTTGCTTGGGAAAGTGGGACTGTGAAGGTGGGGAGCTGTGTGAGAGCTACAGCTTGCTAAGCATATGGCGACACACATGTCCACATTAGCAAACGCTTACTTACCCAATATATCAGCAGCCCTCAAGGTCTTCTTTAGGAATAAGACAGAAATAAATGCACTACCTAGAACAGAATATAAAGACATTTTTTATATTTGATTGATAGAATAACAAGTACTATAGCAAAAAGCTGCCCTGAGCCAAGTATAAATATATCTCACGGCTGTTGTTGTTGCACCATACCATGATATAACCAGCCAGGAGTCCATTCCCGCAACCAACCAACCCTCAGTTTTTGTTTTAAATGTATCCAGCAGGCTCTTACATAGTTGAAGGGATGCAATACCCTTCCCGTCTCCCACGCAGACACCACTTAAACTGCTCTGATTCAGTCATATGTGGAAGTGTCAGGAAAGCTGGGCACCAGTCAGCCTTACCGTTCCACTCCCCATTTTGCCACCAACTCACTGTATGGACTTGCTCAAGGCAAATTACCTCACAGAAGGATAAAATTCTGCTTCTTTAGATTTCAATGTATTAGTATAAGAAAAGTGGCAGCAGTACGACTAAGAGGAAGAAAGCCACTGCAAAAAAGTAATATTTAGTATTAACTAAGAGAGTGGTCATGATGTCTGCAAACAAGCAGGTGGAAGAACCAACATCTGTACTCTACAGGAGCACAGGAGCATGGTCTTCTAGAGTGATTTGTAATGAGGAAGGAGAAAAATGGAAGTGAGCCCTGGAAATGACCTCCTGTCCCCTGGGCAGCTCTTT